GTGCCCTAGAGCCCATGCGCCGCAACTACTGAGCCCACGTGTCGCAACTACTGAGCCCACGTGCCGCAACTACTGAAACCCGCGTGCCTAGAGCCCATGCTCCACAACAAGAGAAGCCACCGCAATGAGAAACCCATGCACTGCAACAAAGAGTAGCCCTCGCTCACCACAACTAGAGAAAACCCGCTTGCAGCAATGAAGACCCAGTGCAGCCAATAAATAAATAAATAAATAGATAAATAAATGAAATGTATGTGTCTCGAACTTGTAGACATATATAGTGTTGGGTACCTGAAACATCTTCCTGCAGCATCAGTACTTAAAGTTTTGAAGGGAAAAGAGGGTTTTGCCTTTTCGTACTCATAAGATTTTGGTCATGTATGCACAAACAAAATCAGAAACAGTCTGCGTTTTTCATGAGAAAGCTGAGAAATATTATGAGCAGTTTAAAATGAGAAGTATTGGTACTTTTTGTATTGTTGAGAACCAGTAACATTAATCATTCTCCTGCTCTGAGAACGGAGTTTGTTTATATCATGCTAGCCAAGGCCTACTAGACTACCAGATTGGAGCAGGTGGGATGGATGATTTCTGGGCAAGTCCAGGGAGGCCCACTTGGTTGATAGGTCACTCTCTAATCTGTTGTTTTGTTTTTGGTTGGTTTGGTTCTCCCCACTGACCCCCACTGCCCTGCCACTTTTAATTACAGACACAAAAATTGGCTCCCACAAATCAGTGAGCTTCTTTTTAAAATTGCACTTGATCAGATGTGTTGTGTATAAATAAGCAAATGAGTACTGCTTCCTGATATGATGAGTTCCCTGTTAACACAGAAATGATTTTTCTAGTTTCCCTTGATATTCTTTAGTCTTCTGTTTATAGTAGTTTGATGTTATGTTTTCAACTGGGAGTAAGGATCAGTAGTTAAAAACATGAAGTTCAATGTACAAGTTTGAACCCTGGGAAAATATGCTAATAAGAGGGAGGTTCAGAGCAACCTGTAATCAGCAGCAGCCGTGGGTGTCCCTGGGGTGCCCTAAGATGCCTCTGACAGCAAAGTGGGGTGATAGCTCTGTCCTGTCCACAGCTAGAGACTTGAGAAGCAACAACCTAAAAAAAACAGAGTATACAGATATACTTAAAATGTAAGTGTTATTATTATAGAATAAGCATAATTAGATACATCTTATGGGAGAAATCCCTAAACAGTAACTACCTGAAACTGCACTTTTGTAGCATCATTTAGAAACCAGCCATACAGATTTTGAAAGGAAATTTCCAGAATGTTTTTACAATTAAATAGAAATCTTGGCTAGAAGGAGAACAGTAAAAAGCGTAATGAAGTGAGCAAGGTCAAGGTCAATTTATAAAAATCCTTAGAAGGTAAAGCTCCACGCTACACCACCACTACACCACCCTACACCACCACTGCCACCGCTCACTCTAGTATCTAAAAGGCTTTTTTTTTTTTTTTTCCCCCAGTTTCTAGCACAGATCACTTGTTTACTCATGGCCTCACTCATTGATTCATCCTCAGAAGCAGAGGCAGCCTGCCAGATGATTGGGTGCTTTAGAGCAGTGACAGATGGGAACAAGCAAGGAAGGAATGGAGGGGGGAGCCTGAGGTGGTTTATTCCCCCACTCCTAACCGCTTTTCCCAGCCACACATGTGTTTCTCAGACACACCACTTGATCGTTCATATCACAACCAAGGAGAAGCTCCCAAAGTTGACCTAATTAACAGACATTTTTCTAAGGATGAACACTCAGTCAAGACAAAACCCTGTATGTTTTTGCTGCAAATGACAAATTTGCTACAGTGGAAATGAAGCTTGAGAGTTGGACATAAAGGGCTGATTATGGGGAGTTGTGCGCTATGTGAGACTCTGTTTATTTACATGGAATTAAAATAACACCATTGTCAACATCCTGTCAGATTTACTGTCCTCTGATTAGCAAAAGACTAATGAGTAAATCAGAGAAACTGATTCTACCACCTGGCACAAGCATCATAATCTCCCAGTAAGAGGTATATATTGAAATTTCCACCTATAGAAGCCTAAAAACATTGTACAGGCCACCTCTTGGAAAGTCATCTAGGTTTCACTTCTTAGCTAACAGAGTGACAAAATTTTTGCTTTTTGCTCTACATTTTGAGTCTGGGTTCTCAAAATATGATACAATACAAAAGAGAGAAGAAAAATTACTTAGAATACTGAACCTAACATGCAGCATCAGAGAGTTCAGCCTGGTTTCTAGAAACGGATAAGTTGGATTCATCTTACACATTAATGTGTTAAATAGAAAACATTTTTTTGTCCTTGATAGGAAGTAATTCTAAAACTTTTTTTTCGTTTTAAATCCAAAATATCTATTATGGAGCAGCATGAAGAATGAGGGTGAATTTTTAAGATCAATATGAGATTTTAAAGAAATGTTTACAGTTGGAGAGCTTCAGGCTATTCACTGTACTTTGCTGTAGAAGCCTTCTGTGTTGAAAAAGTTTTTGAGAGAGTTTATATTTTGAGTTTGAGTTTAAGGCATGAATAATACAAGAGGAATTAAAAGAATTAAAACACACTCCTTCCCTTTTATGTCACTGTTACCCTGTCACTGATATAAACCACTCAGTTCCCACCTCTTCCATGAAGCCTTCAGGCTCACCTGGGCTCAGAGCAGGCTGTGACTTGCTCTGAATTGCTTCCATGCCTTCCATACATACACAGGTATATCCACAGCCTTGATAATACCTGGTTAGGCCATGGTAGACACTTGCTGACCAACGGTCATAGTCATGTTATTTAGAGACTTTGACTATGGCGTGACAAAAAGAGTTCCTCACTGCAAAACAATGGCTTGGCTCCAGAGGCTGGTTTTTTTTTTGTGGCACAATTCACTTACTTGCTTGTAACATCACTTACTGATTTCTCACCAAAAGCACTGTCAGTCTATCCATCATTTCATTGGGTGATGGAAACAGGTGATGGAGATTGTGGGGTTAATTGCCCAGCTAAAGCAGCTCTCCCCATCCTGGCACCTTTTTCATGTATGTTTGCTTCACCTTCCACTACCTGTATAACATTTCCCCAATCGCCAGGCCCTAGTTTACAGGGCCGAGAAGTCTGAGACCCTCTTCACACTGAGTTCCCCTTTTGAGGACCTTAGACTGATTCAGAGTCCAGTAGGTCTCCACTTAGGTCAGCCCTGGTTCCTGTGGACTGTCTAAAAGGCACTGCTATAAAGAAATGCCTCAGCTGAATATGTCCTTCCTTTCTCCCCACAGACATAACCAGTGCGGTGCAATCCAAGCGAAGAAAATCCAAGTAAACAAGCTGAATGACGACTTGATATTTGTAAATGTGTGTGAATTTCACAAAAAGCGATTTTGAGCTGTGACTTTTTAAAATCCATTTCTGTACAGTTAGTTATTTTAATAATGTGGTCCTTTTCCTGGTCCCTGCAACCTGTTTCATAAAGTGCAATGGGGAAAGCAGAGTTGTTGAACCCTTTTGGTGTTGCAAGATGAAGTTGAAGGTTTCTAAAATGTTGCCATGTATTGAGAGGAGCTAATGTGATTATGTTAATAGTGTTCACATTTCCTAAGCAGCCTAGAGTACAGGGTGAGCATTTTTAGATCTTCTAATGATGTATTGTGCTGTGGAAGTACTGTGTGTGAATAGCAGTAGTGGGGCAAAAGGAATCTTCTCATTTGGAAATGTTGTAAATAATTTTATTATATAGTGTTTTGGATGTATTTGTTGTAGAAATGGACCAGTGAATAAAGAGAATCTAAGGGTTTGTACAATGTGAAATACTGAATGTGTTAAATAAATGTCTTTGTCCTAGAACATAAACGTATGTTATTGGTAAGGGATTATTGGGTAAGCAAGCTCTTTCTTTGGACCATAAATGAATAGGAACAGCCTTCTTTGTGAATTAGAATCCCATCATGTCCTCATTACACTTGAGTTGCCCACCTGGCAAGTTGTGGAAAATGTACCTACTTATTCACTCAACTCATTCTCTTGGCTTTGAAGAAACTAGCTCTTTTCAGCACTATACCAGGCACTTTGATATTGATCAGATTTCTTTTGGTTGCAAAATGACAGAATCAACTTAGAGAGGATCAAAGGTCACCCAGGATTTTCTGGAGACAGGAAGCCGTCAGCAAACCAGATGGCACTCTTCTCTACCTCATTCATCTGCTTCTCCATGCACATGATGGATTGCTCCAAAACTACTATGTTTACACCTCCTCCATTCAAGAGATAAGCCCAGACTGACCAGCAAGATTTTTTGTAACAGCATCAAGAATCTAGCCCAGTTTAGGTCAGGTTTCTAACTTCAGTCCATGTCCATGGTTAAATGGAGCAGCTCCCAAATAAAAGTTGTCATTTTGCATTATGTACTTCAGAGATATCCACTATGTTCCACTCTTTGGCTGCCCTGTTTCTCATCTGCATCAGGCCTGGGGTGACTCATCAGTGTGCCTAGGTTTTTCCCTTTCCTGGCTCTGTTCTTACCTTAAAAATTGTGGTCTCAAAAAAAAAAAAAATTGGGGTCTCCAAACCAGCTGCTTCTGCCCCTACCCTACCCCCAACATTCAGGGGACTTCAGTGCTTGGGGTCCTTTCTTTATCTTGGTCTGGGCCCCAGCCTTCTGCCATGTCTCCTACAGCTAGACATATACTCCATCCCTTCCCCTTCAGGGGCTCCATAACCCAGTGCCTGAGACCAAAAGGTTGAATTGGTGATTCTCATGCTCTTATTTTCCTTTTTTAAAATGTGTCTTGCATTATAAGGATTCTCTAAAAGTAGTTATTTCTGAGTCACCCCCATTGTCTGGCTCTGTTACCAGCAAGCTTATCTACCCTCTTCCTTCCCTGTATGACACACGCACAACCAGAACCAAAGCCAGCCTAACAACACCCTAAGCCAATACTGTGTTTGAGATTGCAAAGTGCTTCTCCTACTTTAGCTGTACTCAGGAAGAAAGCATAATGTGCTTTAAATAGATTTTTATTTGTTTTTCTTTATATTAACTTTTTCTCCCATAGAGGAATAACATTACAGTCTAACAATCAGAATCCTGTTACACACATACACAGGCATGCCACGTGACCAGGCTGAGGCGGTTGTGTCCTTGAGTCTGTCAACATGTCATAACATGGTCAACCAGAGTCTCCTCTTTTCAGCCAGTCTCAACACAAAACACCCAAGAGGGACGCACTCATCTTATTGGTTCCATTTGGAACTAGGCAGCAGGGCAAGAGGGAAGATATAAGGGGCCATGTTATGTCTGCCTTCAGTCCCCTCACATAAAGCCACATGGATCTGAGGAGTCATCCAAGAGCTCTGGTGGGGTCCTCAACGCACCTAACATTATGGGTCAGAGCAAACTCAAGGTTCCAGGTGGGGGCCGGGGAGCAAGCATACTCCAAAACAGCAAACTGCATTCATACACAGATGGGACCCTGATGGGGCCAGACTGCAAAGGCTGGAAATGACACCCAGTTTGAAAAGAGATGTATTGGAAAATCACTGGAAGTTGTCCTTTGATGTAATTGGGACTCACTCTAGAAATAGGGGTCCCTCTCACATACTCAGTTTCGGCAAAGCGCTGGTAGTCTTGACATTAAGTAATGCAGTCTGGAACAAACTTCCACAGGGTCTCTGAAACATCAGTAAAGACAGACTCTCTAACCTCCTCCTGTCTAAGGTTGCATAGGACTTTGTGAATTCTGGTTCCCTCATGTATTCAAGTTCTGTGGTTTAAAAAAAAGTCCTGAAGCATGCTCAAGGTGAAAGGCACATACACAGTCAATACAGTATGACGAGTTCTGCTGCTTCAGGAGTCAGACTAGCAGGAGACCAAACTAGTGTTGGCTCTTAGAAATCTATACACAATTAAAATATTGTCACACTCAAATGCTACAGAATCTATAGGAAAGTACAAAAACATGAGCCTTGCAACCAGCCAGGTGATGATGTTGGAGGGTTCTAGAACTACAGGAGCCTCCAGAAATACGGGTAAGGTAAGGGCCTTTTGAAATTTGAGCCAAATGCCCTATAGCTCACTTTTCCCCCACAGAAGGATTGTGAGCACTGCCCAGAACTGAGCCTAGGCTCCAGCTGGCAGCAAAGGAGTAGGCAAGAAGAGTTGGAGGGAGTTTCAGCTCTTGGAAGTGCTGAAGACCCTAAGCTGGCTGTGAAGTAACCAAGGAGTAGCTGGAAGAATAAAAGGGACTAGGTCGTAACTGAAGGAGAACCTTGGAGAGAGGAGCAAGGTTGTCAACTACTAGGGCCCTAGTGGACCAGCATGGGGAATTTGATCTGCTCTTACTGTAAATTTGGCTTATTCCTTTGGATAGGAGACCCCAACAGGGCTTTCTCTGTCCCTATCCCAGCATCCATGGGGCTACCCCCTCCCTTATCCATACACCCCACTGGAGACCTAGGGTTATAGGGCCAGGGAGGGCAGCTGCCTTTGCCCACATGGGGTTGCAGAGTTTTCTGTTAGCCTCAGCTTGGCTGTGAGGCCTAGAAACCTAGAATTGAAGGGAAAGACCTGTGTTAGTATGTAATAGGAAATCTTAAAGGTTTCAAGGAAGAAAGAGCACACACTAGAAAAGGACAGAAAGAGGAAAGGGGAAGCAACTCGGGGCATCCCAAGAGGCTGTTGCTGGTGTCTGAGCCCAAAAGTCAATCCCACCGTGAGAAGGGGAAAGCTGGCTGCCCCTGTTCCCTTTGTCTCACCCAGGTATTCAGGTTCCCTCTTCCAGGTACTTACTGGAGGAGAAGGGAAGGGGAACCATAGGGTACCCATTTCCCCCCAGCAGCCTAGAAAGGAAGAGAGCCCTGGGAAAGAAAATGAAGAGAGGCTCCCCTAAAGGCCCTGAACCTGGACAGGGACTATTTGGGGATTGTGGCAGTGGGGCTCCTGGCCTCCTACTCAGGAGTGTTTATTAGCCATCCTGGCAGAGTATGAAATACAAGGCCAGAGGCAAGATGAAGGCTAGCTGCCATTCCTTGGTTGGCTTCACCCCACAGCTTGTCCTCCCCAGCAGCATCATTCTGCATTCTTATCCTGGGGTGTGTCCTTCTCCTGCCTAGAATCCCTCTGGCCTGCATCTCTCCTAAGCTAGTTCTAGCACCTTGGGGCATGTGAACAGATGTCTAGGATGGCAGGGCCTTGCCCAGCCTTTACTGCTGGGTTGATGTGGGTAGGGCAGCAAGGTACTAACTAAGCCTTTCAGATACAGGGACCGGCAGAGGGGTTGATTTCAGGAAGAGATTTGGGAGGTGGCATTGTAGAAAAGTGATGTGGGCTCCAGCTTGAGAGCAGGGCTTGCCCTCTCTGAGTAAGCACCATGCCAGCCCCCATTGTGCCCTGCTCCCTACAGCATCTTAACCTGTCTGTCCTGTCTACATTTTCAATAGGTTTCCTCTTTTCCTCGATTCCCTCCACCTTCTCCCTCTAACTCACATCTCACAGTCCTTTCCCACATGCCTTACCTTTCCATACCTAGGCAACTCCAAGGAGCCCAGCCCCCAGAGGAGAGGGAAGGGGAAGACTAAAGGCAGAACCCTTTAGTCTCAGTGGGAGAATTACTGGGAATGAGTAATAAGGGAGCAGGAGTGAATGCAGTGCCAAACATTAGATAGACTGAGGCTTGTAAAGTGGGAGCTGAAGGTAGGGAATGAGCCAGATATGAAACTGGAAGAAGACACTCTCAGAAATAGGAGTGGGCCAGAGTAGAGGACCGGAGGGCAGGGATGGAGAATGTCAGGGCAAAGATCAGGATGGGAACCGACGGAGTGTCGGCGGTGGGGGAGATGGAGGATTAGATGCCAGAAGGGGCCAGAAGGTGGGAGGGTGAAGGGAGAGGGGGAGGTTCAGAGGCGGATTAGAGGATCAGAGATAGGGAAATAGAAGGAGTAGGAGCGAGAGAGAGAGAGAGAGAGAGAGAGTGAGGCTCTCACCCCCACCTCACACACTTAAGAAGGGAGGTTGTGGTGTCCAGCCCGAAGTGGGCTGCAGGAGCTCCTCAAGCAGCACACTGGCTGCGGCGGAGGGGCTGGATAAGGGTCGGGAGTCAGCGAGGGGTTTGCGGCACGGCCGGCGGAAGCTCAGTAGTTGAACTGGCGCTGGCACGGCTGGTAGACAAAGCTGCCCTGGTGCTTGGGCCGGCGCGGACGGCTCTCGCGGGCGCGGTTCTGTCGTTGCACCACCTTGGCGCTCAGAGCGTGGCGCTCGGCCCGCTGCCGGGCCCGCTGCAGGCGCCGCGCCTGGCCCGCCTTCTCCAGCAGTGTGGCCCGCGCCGGCAGAGGGGCGGCGTGGTGCAGGGCCCGGGGTTCACGGCGAGCAGGCGCCAACTCCCTGAGGGGACAGAGCGAGGCAGTCAGGGCTAGACAAGTCGTGGGGGACGGAGGAGAGCGCTGGCACTTCCCACCCTGTCCCCGCACCCTCGCACGATTTGGTCTCTGCTCCTAGGGGGGCGCACAATGCCCTTCTTGTGGGTACCAACCATTCCTCCAAGCCAACCTGGAGATGCCTACCGTCTCAGCGATCCCAAGCCTTGAAGCTCTGTCTCTCTCAAGCCCCGCCCTAGCCACGAAGCCACGCCTCTCCCTATCTCAAAGCCCCGCCCCTTTACCTTCAGGCCTAGCTTCATTCCGGCCCATGGGCCCCGCCCTTTGCCTCGAAGACCCGCCTCTAAAGGCCCCGCCCCGGCACTGCCAGGGGGTCTCCTGGGCTCGCTCCTGCAGCGGGGACCCTAACCTCCAAGACAAGCTTCTCTAGGCCTCCAGGCTCCGCCCCCGGCCGGCTCACCCGTCGCTAAGGTCTCCGTCTGGCAGGGCGGCGTCAGGGTGCGGGGAAGGAGGTCCCGGCTCCAGCACTATGGTGCTGCCGGTCACGTAAACGGACATGCTGGGGTGCTCGATGAGGAGGTCCTCCAGGGGGCTGCTCTGGAGGCGGGCAGGCCCGAGCCCAGGCCCTTCTGCAGTAAAACAGGCCGGAGGGGTAACAAACCAGCTCTCATCCATCAAGGAGGGTGCGGGCGGAGGGCGGCCCGCAGGGGCCGGGGCGGCCCCGGGGCTGGGTGGAGCTGTGAAGCTGTCTACGTGGCGCGGGAGGGGGAGCCGTGCGGAGGAGGGGGCGCAGCAGGGAGGGACACACACACACACACACACACCGGACACAATGGGGCAGGGAGAGAAAGGGCATCGTTAGTCCGACACGCAGCCCCGCCCACCATACCCAATGGGCATCCACAGTCTCGACCTGCTGCCCTAGGGCGCGTGAGGTGTGGACTCCAACACTGTACCGCCAGGAGATGGCCCCAGCTTGCATGAGATGGGGCCCTGTTGCCCTCCACCTCCAATATTACTGCCTCAGCCCCAATTTGCCCAGTAGGCCCGGGGGAACTCCCCAACCCCTTAGCAGCTCCCTGCTCAACTGCTTGGCCACTTGCCCTAATGACGACTTCACAGGCCCAGGAGTCAGTCCTGGCCCCAGACTCGGGCCTCACCCGCCAGGTCAATAATGAGCCAGCCATCCACTTCATCCTCCTCGGAGACGAAGGCTCGAGGGCAGTCGGGGTCCTCGGGGGGCGCCGGGGAGCTGAAGAAGAGGCTGGTGAGGCGCTGGAGCATGATGGGGGAGTGAAGAGGCCTCAGGGGGCTGCCCTATGGCAGTGCAGAAACCTGGGAGGTAGAGAGGAGTCAGAGGCACCACAGACTGGTCTCCCCATTGTGGCTGGGGATACCTCCCCCAGCCCCCAGAACAGTGATAAGGGTACAACAAGGATGCGTGGGAAAGCTTTCTCGTGTGTGTCTGTGTGTGTGTGTGTGTCTGTGTGTGTGTATTTGTGTGTGTTTGTGTTCCCTTTCTGGTAAGTCAGCCTGCCTTCAAGCTTTTGTTTTCTGTATGACCTTAGAAGTTATTTAACTTACCTGTGCTTTAGTTTTCTCATCTGTCCAATGGCAAGGATAATAGTATCCTCTCAGCCCTTAAAGGAATTAAATGAGCTAATAATAGTATCCTCTGGGCTCTCATAAGAATTAAATGAGCTAAATACAAAGTGCTCAGAACAGCACCTGGGCACAGAGTAAGCATTCAATAAACTAAGCAACTAGTTTATTATTAATAATTATTAATATTGTTGCATGCTCTAGGAGTGATATATATGACCAGACTCTGTCAGGGAATGTTCCCCAGAGGATTGGACATCCAACCTGGACCTTGAAGGGTAAAAATAGTTCTCCAAGCAAGGAAGAAATCGCCCAGTATTGTGATTATTTATCATCACCATCATCATCGTCATCATCATCATCATATAGCTAACATTCATGTGCCAAGTACTATACTAAGCACTTTACCTATATTACCTCATGTAATCCCCATGATTACTCTAGGAAGTGGGTATAATTATTATCCCTTTTTTTTTTTTTTTTGTGGTACGTGGGCCTCTCACTGTTGTGGCCTCTCCCGTTGCGGAGCACAGGCTCTGGACACGCGCAGGCTCAGCGGCCATGGCTCACGGGCCCAGCTGCTCTGCGGCATGTGGAATCTTCCCAGACCAGGGCACAAACCCATGTCCCCTGCATCAGCAGGCGGACTCTCAACTACTGCGCCACCAGGGAAGCCCCTATCCCTTTTTTATAGGTGAAGAAACTGAGGCTCAGAGATGTAAGATAATTGGCCCAAAATCTCAAAGCTAGTAAGACACAGAGGATTTTAACCCGTGCAGATTCCAGATCACTATACTCCATTGCCTTTGCTGGGTATCTGTCTGGATTAGGCATTTTTAACTTAGTGGCCTGGGGCCATGGTCCATGTGTATTTTTCTGAAAAGAAGGACCTTGGTTTTCATCATGATTTCCTAAACAGCGGTCCTTGACCCCAGAGATTAAGAACCACTACTTGAGTCTGTGTGGCTTGAAAAGTGCTCGCTAGCAGAAATTCCACAGAACAGCTACCATCCTCACCCTGTGATCGCATAGGCCTCAATTGTGTCTGTCAGATGAAGATCCTATTCCCACAGGCCCTCCCCCCTCTTACTCCCTATTCCCAAGCTCCTGCTCAAGGGCAGCATCCCTGGCTAGGAGGAAGAAGATCAGGTTGCCTGGCCCCAGGGAGACAGCAGGTCAGTGGGAGGTGATGATGGAGGGAGGGAGCTATCAGACCCCAGGAGCCCTTAAGTATGAGGACTGAGGGTTTGACCAGGACTCAAGCCCTCAATCAGTCCTTCCCTCAGTGAAGATGAGGAAGGAGACCCCCTGCTCCAGGAATGTAAACACCAAGCCTACCTCAGGACTAGACCTGGGCTAGGGGCTGCTGGCCAGGCCCCCTGGATGTCCCTGGAGCTTGACTCTCCACATGTCCCCGAAGATAGCCAACAGTTAGTTTTGCTACTCAGCCACTTGTCACCTTCCTCTAAGGATGTTTCCACACTTTCTATAAAACTCCCTGGGGGCATGTCCACACTTCCATTCCCTGGAGGCATTCTACTCTTATTGCTAACCCACCTGGGGTATTTCTTATGGTTGTTGCTACCTCTCCCGATCCCTGGGTATATTTTCACACTTGCCACAGAATCACCTAAACTCTATGCCCTGAGAGTACTTATACATTTTGCAGATCCACGGTGGGCTCCAGAGGAAAGTGCTGCCTGGGTATTGGCCTCCCTGGTGGTAGATCTTCCGGGATTATGAAAGGTTGGGCCACTCTCAACTAGTGCCTGCCCAGCACAAGCCACATATCCCAGCCCATCTGTAGCCACAGGGAGTTAGTGACTCAGTTACCAAAAATCCAGAGAGTTTGGCCCCTCCTGAAGGAAGGGAAGACTGGGGCCTTGTTGAGGCACACCCTCTTTCCAAGGACCTACTGCTTCACTGAGAAAATGAAAAGGAAGTTAATAGGTGTTTCAGGAGACATGATATTCACCCAGCCCATTTTGCAGGCTGAGGATCAGAGGACATAAATCTACCCAAAGACACATGGCTAGATGGTGGCAGAGCAGGCCTAGCCCCAGGTCACTGAGCATTCAGTCCAGAGTGAACACAGTCAGGAAGCCCTCAGTAAACAACCCCCCAAAATATAATGATGCAGGGGACACGGGGAAGTCAGACAGGAGTCAGACTTTGATCAGGTCACTGCCTCTCTCAGCTATAAAAGGGTCTGAGGTTCCTGGCACCAAGATTCATCCTGCATTTTCCAGAGCACCCACTGTGTACCAGAGTCTACTCTGGGCCTCCTCAAATTACAAACAGATTGAGGTAAGGGAGGCTTAGGGTGGGGGAAGCTCCCTGCCTGAGGTCACAGAGAAAGTCAGTGACAGAGCCAGAACTGACAACCTCACCAGCCAGCCAGTGGCTGCCTCCTCTCATGACCACTAAGGGAGGCTCCCAGGATTTTTCTTTCCCAGCCCTGACAGTTCCTGGTTCTTACATTCCCAGCTCTGCTCCAGGGAGAACCGTTCCCATTAATAACTATAGCAGCTGTGCCCAGAATAACACTGGGGCCCCCAAGCCACCTCTACCCCATCCAGGCCATCCTTGAGCAAAGTCTAGGCTGGGATGGGACTGCTGGTCCAGCCCGTAGGCCCATCTATTTGGAAAGTCAGAGGCTCTCCTTCTCCCGCTCCTTCTCTGGTCCCTCTCTGTGAGCAGAGAGGGGCAGCACAAGCCTTGTAGTCCCTAGCACTAGGCCAGGTCAGTCCTCTCTAGCTGACAACTCTGGGGCTGGGAGGTGAAGAAGAGCCAAACAGAGGGAACTCTCACCTCCACTCCATCCCAACATCGGAGACACCCTGAGGCAGGCATTGCCTCACATTTCTGTGGTCAGAACAGCTAGGAGGCAGTGATTTTATTGGGCTTGGCAACTCCAAAGAACAGAGTGTCAGGGCCTCAAAAGGGGACCCAATCTCCAGAGACCTCCTGGGAAAAGATCCAGGAGTGAGGAAACCTAGGAGCTCTATCAAATTTAAATGGTGCTTAGCCCAAGGTAGAGTCTTCAGTGGAAGGAGGATGTGTAACTTGTTACTTGTAATGAGCTCTTACTAGCTATGTGCCCATGGCTAATGCATCTGCTACTCACTAGGTAGGCATGACTCTAACTGGTTGCATGACTTCGAGTAAGCTATTTCCCCTCTCAGCGCCTCAGTTTCCCTTCCATGAAATGGGGTCTAAGACCCCTCGTTTGGGGGCTGGGAATGACGTCAGCTAAGGCGCTTCTCACATGCCAGGGATTCGGAGAAAGTTATGATGTTAGTCCCAGGGGTGCAGAACCTGGAGCCAGAGGGAGGGGGTTGTATCACCATCTGGCGCTGCCCCAGTGACCTGGAGCCGAAGCTTCAGGGGCCCGTGAACTCCTGACAACCCCCTCCCCCCAACCTAGACCCAGTAGCGCCTTCGGAACCTCTCTCAAGTCGCAAGAAGAAAGTAGGGGATCAGAGGCTTGACCCCAGCTCCTGGATTAGCCCAGGAAACTGGAGGACCCTCTGGTCCCGCTGCCTTTCAGCGTCACTCACCCATAGGCGCAGCCCCGACCCAGCGCCCAACGGGTCATCGGAGGACAAGCGACCTGAGCCGAGAGGCGGGGAGAGGGGCGGTGCCGGCCTTGGTGACGTCTCAATGTCATATGCAAATCGAGAGACGTCATGGTCTACCGGGCTTGCGGCAGCCAATCCGGAGACGGGAATGCAGCCCCGGAGGCCGCCGGCGGAGACAGACAAAGACCCGGGAGCTGGGGGCGCGGGGTGTGTCCCCAGACTCCGGGAGCCCCCTGGCCAAAGCGGGTCGGAACTCACCTGGGGACTGGGGCGGTGCGGCAGGCGGAGGTGGCGCTGAGGTAGTTGTGAGGCGGGGCGTCCCGGGGTCGGCGGCTGATCACAGGCGCGGCCGCATCGCGGGGGCTGGGCGGGAAGGCGGCTGGGGTACGTGTCGGACGCTCAGGGCTGCTGCGCTCGCCCGCGGGGCTTTGAGTCTGTGCAGCCGCCGCTGCTGTGCTCACGGCACAAATTGGAACGTTCAAACAGCTGATTGTGATGTCACAAAGGGGCCCGCCCGCCTCGCGTCACCGACCGGCGGAGCAGCGGCCAATCCCGTGTTGCGGATCCCCCTCCCCGCCTCCTCCACGGTTCGCTGGCTAGTGGCTCCCTCCCCGGGATCCCGACTCCGATCCTAGGGGCGGCGGCCCGGAGAAGCGACTGCAGGAAGCTTGAACCCCCTACCCCTGGACGACCCACGGACCTCTCAAAGAGGAGGGTTCCCACTCCTTTCTACGAGATCCCCATCTTCCTGCGCTCCCTCCGCCTATCTCAGCGCCCTCACCTCTCGCACTGCCCCTCTTGTCCTTTCACCTGCATCCTATATCCACGTCCCTCAATCTTTTACCCTTTTCTCAACTCCACACCAAGTTCGTGCACCTCCCTCCTCCTCACCACCCTTCTCCCTGCTCTCCCTTTTCTGTCTCACCTTCTCAGCGTATGCGTTCGCTGCTTTCTCACCCCATTTTTCCTCAGCTGGGCAGGCTTGAGAGGTGGGGGACATCCCTTTTCTCTGGTTCCAGGGGATCACCCGGCAGTATAGAAGAGTTGGTTAGGCTGACAGGAAATTTTGCGGAGTAGGACTTGGAGAGGAATTGCTCTGGGCTGAATAACCATTGAGTGCTCAGCACTGGAACGTTTACACACCTTATTAACACATTCTGCTGCAGGGGCTGGACAGAAAAGTGACAGGGCAGGGACTGGTTATTAGCCCGGATTTACACACACGGAAACAGACAAATCTCACTAACTGTTAGTATGTAGATTCATATTCAATAATACACTCAACAGAAACTATTGCCGCTGCCAGACCAGTAGCTGACATTTATTGAACACTTACTGAGTGCCAGGCACTGTGCTATACTGCTTTATATGTGTTTTGATCTTCACAACAGTCCCAAAAGGTGGGTGTTATCCTCCTTTTCCAGTTGAGGAAACAGCCTCAGAGAGCCTAAGTGACTTCCCAAGGTCACACAGCTATGGTAAATGTCAGAGCCAGGATTTGAACCCATAGTTCCTGGCTCCAACTCTCTCCACTCTCTACATGCACCAGATTATCAAAACCCCAGAGTGCTTCAGCCTCCCCCAGGAGACCTGGGCACAGCCCTGATTTCCCCCCAAACTTGCTGTGTGACCTCAAGCAAGTCATGTTACCTCTCTGGGCCTCAATTTCCTTATCTGTCAAATCTAACATACCCAGTTACCTTTTTTTTTTTGGCTGCTGCGCTCTGGCTTTATATGCAGCGAGCAAGGGCTACTCTTTGTTGCGGTGTGAGGGCTTCTCATTGTGGTGGTTTCTCTTGTTGCAGAGCATGGGCTCTAGGCGCATGGGCTTCAGTAGCTGTGGCATACGGGCTCAGTAGTTGTGGCGCAGGGGCTTAGTTGCTCCGCGGCATGTGGGATATTCCCGGACCAGGGATCGAACTTGTGTCCCCTGCATTGGCAGGCGGATTCTTAACCACTGAGCCACCAGGGAAGTCCCAAGTTTCCTTTTAGATATTCTTTCAAACTCTCCATCCTCAGGTTTATTCCAATCCCATATTCTAGGCCCCCAGCGTTCCCAGTGGCCTGGGAAATGCCTGAAAGACTACAAATACACATCCTCAGAGTCTCCAGAGGTTCTGGGTCCTTTCTTAGTAGAGCAGGGATGGTGGGGATGGGTCTGTGAGCTGTCCATCTGGTCCATCAGGAGGCAGGGGGTGAGCTAGGCCAGAGCTTCTGCTCTGGTGATAAAATCCCAGCCTAATAACAAACCCTAGAAGGACTCCTCTGTCCTAGCAACTAGGAGAAGGATCCTGGAAATAATACCCAGAGGCTTGACCGGGGTGTAGGGGATGTAGAGCAGTGTTTTGGCCCTTGGAGGGTTGTCCCCAAAGCATCCTCATTCTTTGCAACCCTGAGTCTCTGCCCATCACATCTGCTTCCTGCTAACTTCATACCCTCTCTTGACCTCTCGCTGACTTAAAGTAAATAATCCCTAACATGCCTCTCTTGTCACACCACTTGCCTGCTCTAAAACCTTCTGTGGCTCCCACAGTACCATGCTCCTTAATACAGCATTTGTGGCCTTCCATGATCCAGCCCCAGTTCTCTCCAGCTTTATTCCCCTTCTTCACTTACACACACCTTGTGCTAAGGTCAAACTCCTCATTGTCTCTTCAACTCTCTCCCACAACCACACTTTGGCTCAAGCTCTTTCCTGGAATGCCCTCTTCAGCCCTTTCTGAATTCAGAGCTTTCCTGTCTTCAAGATTCTACTCACCCCGTCTTCCTCTAGGTAGCCTTTCCTATCCTCACCCATGGTCCAGAGCTACCTTGATGGACAGTACAGTTATTTATTTGTTCAATAAACAGTAAGTCATGGTGACTAATTGTGTGTATGTGTTTTCCCAGGTAGATGGTGGGCATCCCAAAGGCAGGATCTCAGTCCATATACTCCCATCACTCAGCCTGTGCTGGGCCTGGCATAGAGTAGACTCTAATCAAAGACTCAACGATTAAAAGCTGGGGACTTCCCTGGTGGTGCAGGGGTTAAGAATCTGCCTGCCAATGCAGGGGATATGGGTTCAAGCCCTGGTCCGGGAAGATCCCACATGCTGCGGAGTAACTAAGCCCGTGCGCCACAACTACTAAGCCCATGTGCCACAACTACTGTGGCCTAGAGCCGGTGCTCTGCAACAAGAGAAGCCACCGCAATGAGAAGCCCGTGCACCGCAATGAACAGTAGCCACAGCTCGCCGTAACTAGAGAAAAGCCCACGTGCAGCAATGACGACCCAACACAGCCAAAAAAAAGAAAAAAAAAAGGTTGATAGATACTGCCAAATAGCCTCTAGGATGTACAAATTTATACTGCTTACAGATTCGTTTGTTTTTTTCTACATAAATATGTCATATGATAGGACTTCCCTGGTGGTGCAGTGGTTGAGAGCCTGCCTGCCAATGCAGGGGACATGGGTTCAAGCCCTGGTCCGGGAGGATCCAACATGCCGCGGAGCAACTAAGCCCATGTGCCACAACTACTGAGGCTGCACTCTGGAACCTGCAGCCACAACTGCTGAGTCCACGTGCCACAACTACGGAAGCCTGTGTGCCTAGGGCCCATGCCCCGCAACAAGAGAAGCCACAGCAATGAGAAGCCTGCAACAAGGAGCAGCCCCCGCTCGCCGCAACTACAGAAAGCCCGCGCGCAGCAGTGAAGACCCAACGCAGCCAAAAATAAATAAATTAATTAATGTTTTCTTCTTTCTTTTTTTTTTTTTTTTTGCGGTACGCGGGCCTCTCACTGTTGTGGCCTCTCCCGTTGCGGAGCACAGGCTCCAGACGTGCAGGCTCAGCGGCCATGGCTCATGGGCCCAGCCGCTCTGCGGCATGTGGGGTCTTCCCTGACCGGGACACGAACCCGTGTCCCCTGCATCGGCAGGCAGACTCTCAACCACTGCGCCACCAGGGAAGCCCCTAATTAATTTTTTTTAAATGTAATATGATATACTCTGTCCTGCAGACTCACATATTTCGCTCAGTAATACGACACAGGAGTTCTATTTATGTCAATATACACAGATCTTCCTCATTACAAACAAAACCTAAAACCATCTTACAGTTTCCGATTGTATGGCAGAAGAAAGCTTATTTAGTTTATCACATATTGATGGACATTTGGGTGGCTTTCAATTTTTTGCTGCCACAAACAATGTAACAGTGACTCCTCTTCTATGAATAGAATAGAATCAGAGAAGTGAATTGCAAGATTGATAAGTATACATACTTAACATTTCAGTAGATGCCATCAAATTGCTCTCCCACAATGTTTTACCAATTTAACTTCCACTAACGGTACATGAGAACCTTAGGTTTTCATCTTGACTGGCCCCTGTGCTTTCTCCTGGATCAAAGCTCAAAGTCCCAGTTATCACTGGGATCATCCAGACCCTGAGCCCTACTCTGCAGAATCCTGAGTGGATAAGCCAAGTGTTGGGAGGAATGAACACAGAAAAGGGGCAGGCTGTCCCCCTCTTGCCAGATGGTCCCCCAGGGGACATGACTCTCTCCAAAGGAAAGGCTACATTGGGAGTGGGAGAAATTGAGCTCCCCTTCAATACGAGTGTCTGAGAGGAGGTTTGGTATCAACAAATGCACTGAACTTCTACTCTGGGTGGGGAGGGTCTTAAGCTGGGTGTCTTGACGTAGAGATGAGTCAGACCCTGTCTCTGCCCTCTCAGAGCTTGATGCTCATGGAGAAAATAGACAAGTAAACAGACAGTGACAGTTCTGTCTACTAAGTATTGAGCTGGACTTCCTTTTCTGACAATATCTGGAACTTCCTGCTACGTAACACATGGAAATGCTGGAAATAAAAACAATAAACATCCTTTTATTTTTTTTAATTTTTTAATAAATTTATTTATTTTTTGGCTACGTTGGGTCTTTGTTGCTCCATGCGGGCCTTCTCTAGTTGTGGCGAGTGGGAGCTACTCTTTGTGTGGTGCGTGGGCTTCTCATTGTGGTGACTTCTCTTGTTGTGGAGCATGGGCTTCAGTAGTTGCAGCACACAGGCTCAATAGTTGTGGCTTGCGGGCTCAGTAGTTGTGGCGCACGGGCTTAGTTGCTCCGTGGCATGTGGGATCTTCCTGGACCAGGGCTCGAAACCATGTCCCCTGCGTTGGCAGGCGGATTCTTTTTTTTTGTTTTTGTTTTTGTTTTTTTACGGTACACGGGCCTCTCACTGTTGTGGCCTCTCCCGTTGCGGAGCACAGGCTCCGGACACGCAGGCTCAGCGGCCATGGCTCACGGGCCCAGCCGCTCCACGGCATGTGGGATCTTCCCGGACCGGGGCACAAACCCGTGTCCCCTGCATTGGCAGGCAGACTCTCAACCACTGCACCACCAGGGAAGCCTGGCAGGCAGATTCTTAACCACTGTGCCACTAGGGAAGTCCCAAACATACTTTTAAATACATTTAACATTTAATGGACCTGCAACCATTTGGATTTTAACAGACATTTGGGGAGATGAAGGCTTGGGCTTACATGAAGTTAGGGATTGGAACTGAGACCCTTGATAAATCTAGGACACTTGAAGGGCTATACCCACAGTGAAAGTACAGACTAGGGGAAAACAAAAAAACAAACGTCTGAGTACTAGCAAAGAAGACAAAAAGGATCTATGTCCATCCTGACCTGGTCTTAGGGTGGGGGAAAGAAACTATCTTCTGAGAATTTGAAACTGCATGCCTGCCCTTGATGAGTATGGGGTGATGAGTGTGGGGTTCATATTTACATCACCTGCATGTCTAGGAATCTCCAAGGCTGAGAAATGAACATCAAAGGAGACCTACTCCAAAAGTATCTCTCAGATGCCTAGCAGAAACTAATGCAAATCCTCTTTGGATCTCCTCCGTGGACCCCCTCCTCTTTCCCCAGCCATTGCAGGTTACACAGAATTCCTGTATATAAAGCCCTTCTAAACAGCTGATAATCCACAAGGAAAAAACTGATGAAATACACGAGGAAACAATCCACCATGAATAAAATTCAGTAGACACAATGAAGAGAAGAATCAGACTCCCAAGAACATCAGGTAACAGAATTATCAG